GAGGCAGCCGTGCTGGGGTCCAGGCCCGAGGACAGTGGGAGGGGATGGGGGGAGGGAGGAGAGTCCAGTCCAGGTCCCTGTGAGGCTGTGAGTCTTACCCAGAGAGGAGACAAGTGCAAAGTTCTCCAGCATCACATGCAGGTACAGGCGTCTTTGAGCCTCGTCCACCAGCCTCCATTCCTCCCGGGAGAAACGCACGGCCACATCCTCCAGGGTCACGCCGGCCTGGAATGACAGGGACAGAGGGAACCATGACCGTTCTGTGCCCGAAAACCCACAGTCCCTCTCCCCACCCATCTGCCCCTCCGCCTGCTCCTCCCAGCTCCCACATCAGGGGAACCCCACAGGTGGGCACAGGGGCCAGGGGCGCCCACCCGACCCTCAGGGTCCCGTTAGGCAGGAGGCTCTGCCCTCAGCAGCGCCAGGCGGGAGGGCACAGAGATGGACTCCAGTCCTGTTCCTGGCGGGCAGGGCGCCCATCATGCCATGCCTTCCCCTCGGGGTCTCCAGATGGTGAGGAGGCCCCGCCAAGCCTGGGCTCAGGGTTCACCTGTCGGCCCCCAATGCTCCCCCTGGAACCCTAACTCCCACTTCCCCCCAATGCGCACAGCCCTCTGCGGACTGTACCCCTCAACCGCCAGGCCCCAGAGGCACCCACAGCCACGTACTCGGGGAGACGCCACTGGGAAGGCCTCTTCTGGGCATCTGGCCTCCACCCGCCCCCACTGGGGCTCCCCTGAAGCTCAGGGGCCGTGACCCCCTCCCACTCCTGTGTGGTCCTCCCTGCATTCACCCCAGGCCCAAGGGCACCACCCCAGCACAGGGACATCAACAAGGACCGCATACCTTCTATTACATTTGCCGACCCCTTTGGGCATGGCAGAACCTCACCTATTTTATCAGCCTCGATGAGCCAGAACAATGACATAGCCAGGAATTATATTTTGCTTTCTTAGTCAAAACACTATCACACTTGTCACCTTTGTCAAGGGCATAAGATGTCATTCGTATCCCAACGGCATTTTAAAAAATTACCCCATTAAATAAATCAACCAAGTGGACTGGCTTGTGCCAAATTTAGATGGACTTGCCCTAACCGGTGTGGCTCAGCGGATAGAGCATCGGGCCTGCGGACTCAAGGGTCCCAGGTTCAATTCCTATGTCATTCATACCCCAACGGCATTTTAAAAAATACCCCATTAAATAAATAAAGTAGACTGGCTTGTGCCAAATTTAGATGGACTCGCCCTAACCGGTGTGGCTCAGTGGATAGAGCATCGGCCTGTGGACTGAAAGGTCCCAGGTTCGATTCCGGTCAAGGGCATGTACCTGGGTTGCGGGCACATCCCCAGTAGGAGATGTGCAGGAGGCAGCTGGTCGATGTTTCTCTCTCATCCATGTTTCTGACTCTCTATCTCTCTCTCTTCCTTTCTGTAAAAAATCAATAAAATATATTTAAAAATATTTAGATGGACTGGCAGTGCGCATATTATTAGAAGGGTCCCAGGTTTGGGCTTTCATTTAACTACATATTTTTCAAGTTATCTTAAGATGTTCATAAACTTTAAAGATTTGTTTTTGTGAAACCACGGTGATGGACAGCAATGGCAAAGCATATGGGGACTATGGCATCCTATTTGGGTAATAAAATCCATTTCCTAAAATTCAAAAAAAAAAAAGGGCCACATCGGCCCAGGTCTCAACCACCAGGAACCGGAAACTCCCGCGCCCCCAGCGCGCACCCCCACATTCTGGGGGCTCCACGCGGGTGGGAGCCGGGATCTCCATCTCGGCTCCGGGATCCTCCGCCTCCAGCACCGTCCGGGCCGCGTTTCCTCCCGGAGCCTC